CCCTTGCCCCCTCTATTCCACCCCTTTTCCCCTCAGCTCCACCCTATTTCCCCTCTGCTCCACCTCTTGCCCCCTCTCCTACACCCTCGTTTCCTTCTGCTCCACCTCTTGCCCCCTCTGCTACCAATGTTTAGTTTAGTAGCGTGAGCGCCACTTGACATGACATCACGTGCACGTGGGGCATGTGCACTCCCTGTCACCGCACACCGCAGATCCCCAAGCTGGCCACAGCAGCGGACTACTTCTTCAGAGTCGGCGCCACCGGCAAGCGATTCCGTCCCACTGTGCGTCCACTCCTGCCTTCTCTTCCGCAACCGCTTGCCCTTGGCAATGCTCATGCGTGCATGCGTCATGCTTGTCTGTATTTGATCCATGCATTCTGCACATACCTTCCTCCCCCTCCCTCCCACCCCCGCCACAACTCCTATTCTCAATTTTTTTTCCTTCCTTTCTCAACCTGGCGCCCGTTTTTCGTATATTTTTCCACTTCTACCATGTTCAAAACCTTTGTTATTTCTGATGCCGCTATACTTCCCCTCCCTCCCCCCCTCTCTCCCTCCATCCCTCCCTCCCTCCCTCCCTCCCTCCCACCCTCCCTCCCTCCCTCCCTCCCTCCCTCCCTCCCTCCCTCCCTCCCACCCTCCCTCCCTCCCTCCCTCCCTCCCTCCCTCCCTCCCTCCCTCCCTCCCTCCCTCCCTCCCTCCCTCCCTCCCTCCCTCCCTCCCTCCCTCGCTCCATCCGCGCCCTTCCCTCCGTCTGCCCTCCATCCATCCATCCGTCCGGCACCTGTGTGCATGTCTCCCACACTGCCGCCCATGCATGGCATGGCCGCTGTGCACGGGGGGTGCTGTCCGCATGGGGTGTGCGCAGGTCATTCTGCTCATGGCGTCGTCCCTGGAGCACACCCACTGCACCCCTCCCGTCCCGCTTTCAGGGGCGCCAGGGGTGCCACTTGGGGAGGTGCCAGCGGGGAAGGTGTTTACTGCGGAGGAGAGGAGGGAGAGGCAACGGAGAATAGCGGAGATCACGGAAATGATCCATGTATGCCTTTTGGTCTCGCCGCCCACCCGTTCCTTGCGTTTTTGGATGAATGTACATTGCATTCTCACTCCCCCCTCTTCCACCCCGCCTCGTGTTGGTAAATGAAGGTGATGTGAGCATGTGCAGTGGCACGGTGCATCATGTGTGACCCCCTTCTGCCTCTCTGCGCTGTGTGTTCTGGTGTGTGAATGTACTGTGCACATGTGCATGTGTGTGGGAGTGTGCATGTGCATGCATGCATGTGTAAATGTGTACATGTGCGTGTGCATGTGTGCGTCTGCGTATGTGCATGTGCGCATGTCTGCATGTGCATGTGTGCATGTGTGCATGTTTGCATGAGTGCATGAGTGCATGGGTGCATGGGTGCGTGTGGCATGGCAACATGGCACCAGGTGGCGAGTCTGCTGCATGATGATGTGTTGGACCATGCGGACACCAGGAGGGGGGTGTCATCGCTCAACTACATGATGGGCAACAAGGTACCGCACTGCCCTCTACACAGCACCCGCGCCTTAGTAGCCCATCCTTCACAGAATTATCCACCCGCATGCTACCCTCACGCCGCTACCTGTGCATCATCCCACACCCCCTTCTTGTTCCCCCCCTTCCCACCCCCACTTCTCCCACCCAGATCTTGCTTCCCTTCCCCCACCCAGTTCCACTTCCCGTTGTTCCGTCTAATCCTGTCACACCCAACCCAATCCCCTCTTCCCACCTCTCCTACGCCCATTTCCCTCCCCCCGCCCCTAACCCCCTCACAGCTGGCGGTGCTGGCGGGGGACTTTCTGCTGGCGCGGGCGTCAGCAGCGCTGGCAGGGCTGCGCAACACGGAGGTGGTGGAGCTGCTGTCCGCTGTGCTGGAGCACCTCGTGGGGGGCGAGGTCATGCAGATGACCGCGGAACCCACACAGTGCAGTAGGTGTGTACTGACTGCCACTGCCCAGTGCAGTGGGTTACGCATGTGTGCCGGTGCCATTTGCTTTCAACCTTGAGTGCACTATCGTCCCTGCTCATATCAACTCATCCCGTTTCGTTTTGTAGAACAAAATGCCTGTACCCATGCATCCTGTCTGTACATATCCATCCCTCCCCTGCACCGCACGCCCTCCTCCCCCCCCGGGGCAGCATGGAGTACTACATGCGCAAGACATTTCTCAAGACGGCGTCACTCATCGCCAACAGTTGCAAGGCGGTGGCAGTGCTGGGCGGCCATGACGCCCCCACGGCACAGCTCGCCTACGACTACGGCCGCCACCTCGTCAGTCGCCCCACGCCCCCCGCTCCTCGCCCCTCGCCCTGCCTACTCCTGCTCCCTGCTTACTTACGTTGCTGCCCTTGCCGTGCGGCCATTGCTAATGTGCTTCTCCGCCAGTGCGTGTCACTGCTTCGCATGCCCCATGCCTCCTCGTTCTTCTCTCCCTCAAGTCGAGTCTTTCTCGCCCCACGGACCACGATGTGGCCGCCCGTGTTCTCCTGCCACGGCCCCATGTGCAGGGCCTGGCGTTTCAGCTGGTGGACGATGCCCTGGACTTCACAGGCTCGCTCGCCTCGCTGGGCAAACCCGCGCTCAACGACATTGCCCAGGTCAGGCCCACACATGCCACTGCACCGTTCATTACGACACAGCACGGCATAGCAGTGCATGCCATCCCTACCAACTCTGCACACCTGGCACAGTCATTAGTGTAAGCGTTTTTTACACGAGTCCCTGTCGGACATCTTGCTGCATTTTCCCATTTCATCTCTTCTCACCTCACCCCCCTGCTGCCTCCTGTCCGCTGCTCTTCCCGGCACCCTCCTCCCCCCGTGGGCATCAGGGGCTGGTGACGGCGCCGGTGCTGTTTGCAGCGGAGCAGCACCCCGGCATGCACCGCCTCATGGACCGCAAGTTCTCCCACCCCGGGGATGTTCAGCAGGTGCCGTGCATGCGTGACAGGGGATGAGTTTGGGAAAGGGGGGCGAGGGGAAGTAATGGGGGTGGGGGAGGGAAAGTGGGGGGTGGGAGGGGAGGGGGAAGGTGGGGAGATGAGTGCGTGTTGGTGAACTGTGGAGAGCATGTCGTCTGCCGCTTGCACATGCACGCTAATGGCAGCACCTGAGCCGCCTCCATGCCCGGCAAGGACGCATCTTTTGTCTTATCGGTATTTCTGTGCTCACTGCGCACCGTCTCCCTTGTTCCCCAACAGGCTGTGGCATGGGTGGAGCAGAGTGGGGGAGTGGCGCGCACCAAGGCACTGGCAGCGGAGCACTGTTCACTGGCAGTGCAGGCGGTGCAGGCCATGCCAGCAGCCAGCACTGAGTATGCACACCGATGCCGCCTGGGACTGATTGAGCTCACGCACCTTGTGCTCTCCCGTTCCAAGTAGTCCTGCCCCCTCTGCTCTGCCCTCTCCCCTCTCTCTTCTCTCCACTACTGTTGCTGACCTGTTTTCTACATCATCTTGCATCGACGGCAGCTGTTTTTTCTTCTTGTGTGAAGGATGTGGTGATTATGGTAATCCTCTCGTGGTTCGGTGCGCAAGTCAAAATGATGCTGCCATGGTGCTGCAAGTCAAATCTTGACTGTTTCTAATGCAAGCACCCCCTCCGTTTGGCCAAACTCTCTCGACACTTAACCTTTGCACCTAAACCCTAGGAAAGGTTTGAGTTAAGAATTTATTTTAACACAAATATACCGTATTCCCCCGGATATAAGACCCTAGGGTCTTCTGTTAAATCCCTAGAAAAAATGGGAAACGGGGGGGTGGGGGGGGGGGGGGGGGGGGGGGGGGGGGGTGGGTGGGGGGTTCTTAACAAAGGAAAAAAATATATAATACCCGGGTCTTTTCCTATGGCGTATTTTGTTTTAGTGTTTTTAACACTACAGAAAATTCCGAAGTTGTGGGTTTGCTTTTGGTGAGCACCACGACAGAGAAAGCTGATCGCTTGACCAATCACAACAAATTCGCCTATCACTGTAAACTTCGCCTCTCTTACGTAACAATTTCGCCCCCTGACACAACAATTTTGTCACCTGACGCAACAGTTTCGCCCCCTGACGCGGCAAACTCGCCCCCTGACACAACAAATCAACCCCCTGACACGGGAATTCACCCCCGAAAGCCAAATTCGCACTATAAAATGTTTCAGTTTCAAATGAAACAATGAAAAAGTACATGGAAAACCTCCCTATGGGGGAACGGGGGGGTCTTATATTGATCACCCCCAAAAGGGGGGGTATAACAAAATCGAGGTTTAATAAAAGACCCCCCTCCCCGTATTAGGTACCCGGGGGTGTTGTATCTTGGGGGGGTCTTCTATCCGGGGGATTACGGTAGTTTCACAAACCCCCGTAGACCAAGTGTAGGGCATCAAAACAAGCAAGGCAGCTAAGTGGTCACAAGACTAGTAAGGAGATGCAACAACACAAAGCTCAAGGTGGATCACGAAGTCACCACACAGTCCAAACACAAACAAACGGCAACAAGGCTAAAGCAAGCAGAGCAAGACTCAAAAGACAATTCTGCAACAACCAAGGGCCTGCCTTAATAAGGCCAAACTGCGAACAGAATTTGTGGTGGTCACCAGGCAGATAAATCATGGTGTAGATTTTCGCAGTGTTGGCCAGAAAGAGCAGCCGAGCTTGGTCGCAACGTTGCATCTCTCGCAGCAGGAAGTACCGAATATGAATGTGCTTCACTCTGCTCTCCAGTCGAGGCTCTCGCCACAGGAGGATCATGACCATGTTGTCAGCGAACAAGGTCGGTCCAGAGCTCGGCCGCTCACATAAGCCAGTGAGCAAGAAAGTCAGCCAGCGCGGCTCTTGAACAGCCATAGCACCGGCGTATATCTCGGCCTCAACACAGGACTGCGCCACAGACGACGACCAGGTATACCTCCACGACTCACCTCCAGAGCCCAAGCTAAAAAGGTACCCTTGGGAGGACCTACTTGTCTCCACATTGTCGGCGTAGGACGAGTTACAATGTCGAGTAAATCGCACTGGCTGTGTCGCTGAGGGGAGAAATAAGAGGAGGAGGGATAATGGCGGAGTAGTCTGCTGCTGCGCTGCTGAGGGGAGAAATAAGAGGAGGGATAATGGCTGAGTAGTCTGCTTTTGCACCGCTGAGGGAAGAGATAAGAGGAGGAGGGATAATGGCGGAGTAGTCTGTTGCTGCGCCGCTGAGGGGAGAAATGAGAGGAGGAGGGATAACAGTAGAGTAGTGTGCTGCTGCACCGCTGAGGGGAGAAAAGAGAGGAGGAGGAACACTGTGGGGAAGGAGCACGACTACAAAGCAAGGCCGGCAACCAGCCGCAGCAGTAGAGGAGAGGAGAGACAGGCAGAGGAGAGAATGAGATGGGGAGGGGAATAAAGGGAGAGAAGAGAGGAGGAGGAGGGTGAAGGGGCAGATGGTGAGGAGGGGTAGTTCTTGATGAGCAAGACTACGAAGCAAAGCTGGCAACCGGCTGCAGCAGTAGACGAGAGGAGAGAGGAGGAGGAGAGAGTGAGATGGGGAGGGGAATGAAGGGGGAGGAGGGTGAAGGGTAGGGAGGAGAGAAGAGAGGGGGAGGAGTGTAAGAGGCGGATGTGATGAGCGGAGAGGGAGGAGGTGGTGCGAAGGAGGCAGAAGAAGTGGGGTGGGGGAGGAGGGGTTCGGCACACCACGAAGGGAGAGGAAGATGCCCGGGAAAAGGGGGGGAAGGGAGGGCGGCCGCGGAAAGGAGAGAACGGGCGGCGGGGAGAGTGACGGCGGAGGGCAAGCCGTGCGCGCGCGACGGCCGCGATCAAGGCGCGCGCGCACGCGACGTCGGCAACCAGGGCGCGCGCGCGACGGCAGAGGCAGGGCGCTTGCACACGACGGGAGGGCAGGACGCACGACAGGAGGGCAGGGCGCACGACGAGGCAGAGCAGGGCGCGCGCGACGAGGGGAAATGGCGTGCGACTAGGTGACGAGGCGCGCGACGGGGTGGGGAGGCCGCGGGGGATGGATAAGGGGGTCCGCGAGTTGAAAATCGAAGGTCGAGATGGTAGGAAACGAAAACCTACACTAAGTGTGAAGTGGCGCCCCGGATGCCTAAGGTCTAAAGCGTCCTAAGAGATGTAGATAAGCAGAAAACGCCATGGATACCATGTTAATGCGATAGTGATAGCCATGGCTAGCAAGATAGGTTGAAGAGATTGACTAGGAAAAAGTGTCGAGAGACAAAAGTAGGAAACCCTAATTGAACTTAGGGTGTGTTCAGTTTTTGCTAGAAACTAAGAAATGAACCTAAACTAAACCGGAAGTGTAACTCGCTCTAAATATGGTGAAATAATAAAGGAACACCATGATAAATGCCAGAGCGAGCTCTAGCTTACTCCAACACCTCCATGTCAGAATGTGTTATTTGTCTAGTCTGCAGTGGGGAACTCTATAGTGAGTACAACCCAACTAGGGTTTGCTATAAGTATCCCATTGCGTGCTAGTGAAAATCCTCTTTCGTGTTCTAACTTTCTGCCTGCTATCTTAACATGTTATCAGAGCGAGATAGCTCCTGGCCTATGGGCCCACCTGCTTCCGTTGCTGTCCTACCTGTCGCGCGCCTCGGGCGCGCGATGTCTTCTGCCTGTCATGCGCCCTGCGCGCGTGGCGAGTGCGCCACGGTTTTCTGCCCACCACGCGCTTGGGGCGCGTGGCGGTTTCCTGCCCGCCGCGCGCCCCGGGCATGCGCGGCAGTTTCGTCGCCCGACGCGGCGCCCCGGGGCTCGCGCGCTGTCCCCTCCCATCGCCCGCCGCGGCGTCCCGGGGGCCCGCGCGCCGCCCCCCTCCCGTCGCCCGTCGAAGTGCTCCGGGGGCCCGTGTGCCGCCCTGCCCGTCGCCCGCCGCGGCGCCCGGGGGGCCCGCGCGTCGCCCCCCCTCCCGTCAACCGTCGAAGCGCCCCGGAGGCCCGCGCGCCGCCCTGCCCGTCGCCCGCCGCGACGCCCTGGGGGACCGCGCATCGCCTCCCCTCCCGTCGCCCGTCGAAGCGCCCGGGGGGCCTGCGCGCCGCCCTGCCCGTCGCCCGTCGCAGCGCCCCAGGGACCCGCGGTCCGCCCCGTTTCCGCTCGCACACCGCCCCGGCTGCTGCCTGCGTTTGAGGTATGGGGGTGGCGGGTGTATGGACCGTCTCCTGCTCCTCCTCCTCCTCCTCCTCCTCCTCCTCCTCCTCCTCCTCCTCCTCCTCCTCCGTCTCCCACTGCTGCAACTGTCGCTACGAGGGGTGGGTGTGTGGGAGCCGAGGGAGTGGCGCTAGGGGGTTGTCGTGGGAGTGGAACTAGGGGTGCAGCAAGGGGTGTGTGAAAGGGGTGTGGGACAGTTGGGGGAGGTTGAACGGAGGTAGCCGTCGTGACGTCAACAGCGCCTGTAGTCCGGGGTTTACCCTTGCTCCGGTAGCCCAGCGAGCCTGCTTGTCAGAATGAGAAACAGGAATGGATGTGACTAGCAGGAACAACAGTACAAATATGAAACCCTAATCTGGTGTACCCCCTATGGTGAGACCCACTACAGCCTAGAACCACACAAACATATAATGTTTGACACACCCCCATAGGCAAAGTGGGGGAGACCTAGGGGTCACAAGACCAGTCAAGGCAAAGCAAGGCAAACAAGCTCAGGGTGGATCTCGAGGATAACACACAAATTCCGAGAACAAGTAAGCGGTCACAAGACCAGTTCACATGCAGTTTTATAATAGAGCAAGAGGTAAAATGATCACAACCTAGCAAGGGCAAACATGCAGGCATATATATATAATGATCACAATACAGGCAAAGTCAAGAAGTAAGCAAGTGAGGAACAGTCGGCACAAGGCCTAGAAGAGTGCAAAAACGCTGATGGTCAACAGGCGGAAGCGCCTTGGTGAACACATCAGCAGTGTTGGCCTCAGTGGCCACGTAACGCAGAAGAAGCTGACCACGCTGCTGTAGCTCTCGAGCTAGAAAGTAACGCAGAGCAATGTGCTTCGTCCTGTGCTCCAGTCTGTGCTCCTGACACAAGGCTATGGTTGCCTTGTTGTCGACGTACAGCACTGGAGGAGAACGAGGCTGCTCTCCAAGGTCATTCAGCAGGTAGGTGAGCCAGCGAAGCTCCTGGGCAGCCATGGCCGTGGCGTAGATCTCAGCCTCACAGCTGGAGCTGAGAACAGAAGAAGAACGAGTAGAACGCCAAGAGACAGAGCCAGAGCCAAGACTGAAGGTGTAACCCTGAGACGACCGCTGAGTAGCCTGGTCGTCTGCTCAAGAAGCGTCTGAGTGCCCAGTGAGAACAGGCCGGTCTCGCCCTCCAAGCCCAAGCCCCATGCCCGATGTAGTGCACAAGTAGCGCAACACCCTCTTAGCTGCATCCATGTGCTCCTTGCGGTGACGGCCGGGAGCGACATAGCGTGCTAAGATGCTGAGAGGGTATGCAAGGTCAGGTCGAGTGCAGGTCATCAGGTACATGAGGCAGCCCACAAGCTCTGGATACGGACCACTCGGCTCTACGGACTCATCCGAAGGCAGAGCTGAGAGCGAGTGTCCCGTAGGCAGAGGAGTGGACTGAGGCGAGGAGTACGTGAAGCCGAAGCGCTAAAGGACCTGCTGCACCATGTGTGACTGAGTCAAGGTGCTGGTGCGCCGTGCTCTGTCCCGGGTGATCCGCAAGCCAAGATAGCTTGTCAGTTCACCCAGGTCTGTGCACGTGTGTCTCTTCTGCAGCTTGGACTTCACGTGAGCGAGACCAGCTGTGTGAGAAGTGGCAAAGACCAAGTCGTCGACGTACACGAGGATGTAGAACGGCGGCAGAGAGGTGTCGGTGCGTAGAAACAGCGACGGGTCAGCAGTAGAAGGAGCGAACCCAAGAGCCGCAAGTGTAGTCCTCAGTGTGTCGTGCCACTCACGTGGCGCCTGGCGGAGACCGTAGACTGGTCGCCGGAGGCTCCACTGGGTACCAGGATGGAACGACCCAGTGAAGCCAGGTGGGCGGCGCAGCCAGATCTCCTCGTGCAGGCTGCCCTGCAAGAAAGCTGTGCTGAAGTCAAGAGAGTGGAGCTCGTAGTCACGCTGAGCGGCGACGTGTAGCAGAACCCGAAGAGTGGTCATCTTCGGGGTCGGGGAGAAGGTCTGGAAGAAGTCAACTCCCTCTCGCTGACTGAAGCCTCGCGCAACGTAACGCGCCTTGAAGACAGGCGGAGAGCCCGGTGGCCGCTTCACCCTGAAAATCCACATGCCACTGACGATGTTCGCCCCAGGTGGGGGAACCTCGTCGACGTAGGTGCCTGTGGACTTCCAGGAAGCCATCTCTGTGTCCATGGCTGACTGCCACTGAGAGGAGTAGGGACCGGCCATCGCCTCTGCGTAAGAGCGTGGGGTCGGGATGTCTGGTGCATCCGGGTCTCCCTCAGGGGCAACAAGCATGGACGCGAGATGGGGCAAAGCAGCGGCAAGGCAACCAAACTCCTCCTGCCTGTCCTCAAGAACGTCCGTGCCAAGAGCACACTCACCCCCGACGGACGGAGGACAGACAGATTCAGACTCAGCAACAAGACTCGCAGCGTAGTCTAGACGACACGCAGCTGCAAAGTCGACAAGCTCAGTGACTAAGGCAGACGTAGCAGCGGACTCAAAGGAAGGGTCAGTGACAACCGTAGCCAGGAGACGTGTGACAGTAGGACTGGCAGCGCGAAGGGTGTCTGACTCCGGGTCAGCAAGAGCAGGAAGAGAGGACGCAGGAGGCGACGGGAGAGTGACACGCTGCGGAGCAGTGGACTGACGAAGCGCCATCTGGTGAGTGCCTGGGACAGCAGGAGGACGCTGACGCGGGACACGACTACCAGTGGTAGCAGCACGAACAGGCAACGCTCGACGAGACGCAGGTGACATAGGACGTGACGCAGGCTCACATCTCTCAGCTAGACCTCCAGCCGGACCAGTGTAAGGAGCAGGCACAGGGAGTGGGGAGGCAGGCGGTAACTGTGGCTGTGACTGGACAGACGGCGGACACTCTAAGGCGAGAGGAGGACAAGGAGGAGGAGGCTGACCAAGAACCTGCTGAAGGAGCGGAACGAAGTACGGCCGTGGCCGTGCAGCAACTCCTGAACCAGCAGAGACACCAGCGGCAGGGTCCTCAGTACCAGCAGAAGCTCCACCCGCCGGGTCCTCCACTTCAGCAGCAGCAGCAGCACCTCCAGCAGCAGCAGCACCTCCAGTACTAGGGTCCGCAGCACCTGCAGCAGCTCCAACGCCCGGGTCCTCAGCACGAGCAGCACCTCCAGCAGCAGCGCCAGCAGCAGCAGCACCTCCAGCACCAGGGTCCGCAGCACCCGCAGCAGCGTCAACTCCGGGGACTCCAGCACCAGCAGCTCCACTCCGGAGACTGATGTGCCGAGCGTACCACTCTCGAAGCTGTGGGGAAGAGGGCGGCTCCCGCCGTGGTGGGGAAACACGAGTACCAACTCCAGTAGCACCACGAGCCCGAGACGCACCCCGCCGGAGGCGGCAGTACCGTGAGTACCACTCACGTAGCTACTGCGAAGAGGGAGGTCCTCCAGGCGCCTCACAGTCAACTGCAACACCACCAGGCTCAGCACCCCCAGGCTCAGCACCTCCAGGCGCAGCACCCCGAGACTCAGCAACGCCAGGCTCAGTACCCCCAGACCCAGCACACCCAGGCTCAGCACCCCCAGGCTCAGCACCCCCAGACTCAGCACCCCCAGGCTCCGCTCGCTCAGGCTCCGCACGCTCAGGCTCCGCACGCTCAGGCTCAGCACCTCTAGCAGGACGCGAGTCAACAGCTACCTCGGCAGGCTCAACCGGGTCTACCTGAGAGACACCTGAGGGAGCGGCACCCTGAGGGGGAAGGGGGTCTACCACTGCAGCACCTGGCGCGAGGAAGAGAGGCGGGGGAGGGAGCGGGGCAGTGCGGTAGGGGAAGAGGCGGTAGAAGGGCACGGACTCGTCAAAAGTGACGTCCTGAGAGGGGAAGACGCGGTGCGAGGCGGGGTGGTAAAACTGCCAGCCAGACGCATCCGGGACAAAGCCAAGAAAGACACAGGGAGCAGTGCGGGAGGAGAGCTTGTCCGCAGACGTGTCGCGAACAAAAGCTCGAGATCCCCAGACACGGAAGCGTGACGCATCGCCAACCTCCCCCGTCCACAGCA